AGCCAGAGGGCGGAAAGGACACTGAGGTTCGCCGCAGAGCTTAGTCGCAGCGACAACATTGTCACCTGCAGCGAACACTGGAACGCATCCCAGAAACCACATCCACATGCCCTGCATGGAGCTGCTTCTCTCGACTCTGCGCACCTTATGTAGCCATTGATATACCCTTCACAAAATACTGTACATATACCTCCTGTGCAATCCTAAACCCAAATCTAAGTTCACAGGTCTTCGGGCCTGTTTTCGGAGGCATGTAGTCATGCCTCCACGGCCGCGCAAGCAGCGAGCACTCACCTGCAATTTACTAGTGCTCAAGGGAAAGTGGGTGAGTAGATCTAGGGACGGCTCTCGGGGATGGTATACTCTCCTTGAAGAGTTTCCGTTGAGCTGAATAGGGTTTCGGACCCACGGCCGTGAGGGACTGAGAGATCTGTGGACGAAGGTTTGGAGGGTCACACTCGTAAATTTTTCTGGCAGAAGTGGCGAAGCCTGTGGAGTCCCTGTAGAGAATTGACCGGCAGCCCGCAGTCTGTGCACAAAGGCAAGCACAGTCGTCATACCACCTTGGCAGGAAAGATCACAACGATGGTGTTTACTTGCATCACGGCAGTTCCCGCTTTCTTTTCATGAAACCAAAACGGGAAACGCATGCAGAAGATTGCTGTGCTAAACATCCTGAAATAGTGCAAGCATTTTGCTTCCCTGGAAAACCTCAGATTGGTCACTGGTACTCAGTCGGGAACGGATAAATGTGTTGTACAGTTGTACGGAGCGGGGTAAGGATTACATAGGGACGGCATCCACAAGCCTTGTTCTGGCAGGGAGTGCTTTCCAAGCGGCGGCTCAAGGGACTCGAGGATCACCTCTGCCACTGGCGCATCGGCACCTAAGGAAGTTCGCAATTAAGTGGCTATCGAAACAGCTTTCACAAGATGGTGTCACGGTTGCTACTCAAGGCATGAGGCAGGTCTACACACCCTGCTGAGTGCTAGGGCGGAGTGGAGGCAGCATGCGACACTGGCCACGGAGCTCCTCGACCTCTTCCAGCACTTCTCAAAGGGACTCAAGGCATCGGGGAGGCTGCGCGCATCAATGCCCGCCTCTGAGACTCTGCTTGCTTCTTCCGGCACCTCCAAATCCTTGAACTTCTGGACCTCGGCTCCAAGTCACAGTCCCAGCCAGTCCCAGCTGCACCGGCTGCTCAGCCAACTCTGGGCCAACTGCGTAGAGTTCCACCTGCTGGACTGGCTCCCCGGGGCCTCCGCAAAGTGAAACCAGAACGGAAGAAGTGTCCGGCAGTTTCTGTGCTTGGGCTGCGTTCGAGGTGCCTACTTGAAGGTCGAGATTCCAGAGCGTTTGCAAATCGAATCTCAATTCGAGGGTAGCAGGCATCTTGTTGGACGCGAACTCTGGTAGGGGGCTTGCTATGGTTGTTTTAAATGGAAGGTGCAAATGCGATGTTGTTTGGCGAAATGGTGCTGCTTAGATGAGACAAGTACACAACTTCAACAATTCAATGTAGCTGCTCATGGCAAACCCCTGCAGCCTGGGATGGCGCTGCCAGATGCTTCCGTAAGGCCCACAGCATAATTCCTTGCAGCCAGCACAGATAGAAGATATCATTCCTGATCAGCCAAAAAAAAAGCCATGGAACAATCAAACGTAAACTGCGAAGCCCTTCTGATCACAGTTGTCATGCCTCAAGAAGCCCAGATGCGTGTGGCTAGCCGCCATCATGGCAGACCCATCCAGTAGCGCGGCACCTCTGCCGAAGCGAAGGCCGCCCCAACCTCTTCTTACTGTTGCTCCAGCGGGGAGGTGTGATATACAACATTAGATACTATCATAGGAATCTTGCCCTTAACCACAAGTAAGTCATTGGAAGAGCGCCCTTTTGAGGGACTGCTTGTGGGCTGAAGCACGGGAAATTCATGAAGTAACAAACCTCAAGCCGCTAGAGTCCCCCTTACAAACTTCTAGTCTGCATCTAGCAAATCTAGCATACCGAGTTTGCGAAGCCGGCAGAATGCGTCTTCTCACTCCAAAGCCTGAAATATCCAAAATGCTGGGCACAACAAAGCTTACCAAAAACCCGACAACTATAGACCATAAACCTTCACCCATACGTCCTAACCTTGACAAGCCGAGGGTCCGTATGCTGTATGTGGTGCCTGCATGGCCTGATAACCATCCACGCGGCCTTGGCGTGAACCGCTAGTCAGGCAAGGAAGCCCGAAGATCTACAGAATCTTGAGGAGCCCTACGTGAGCCTTGCCGTTTAATGTTGAAGTTCTTATGCTGACATACATTTCCTGGGCGAACTACGCGGACTTGCGGTTTCCCTGCAGAGACAGGCTACGCAGACTATGCGAGAACACTCTACAAATTTCTTTGCAGGACCTGCCATTTTCATGGTATGAACCCTATAAACTTTGCACACTACGCGGACAAGACAACTTACACGTACCCTCGTGAGACTACCGCAAGCAAGACAACGCCCTGCAGGCTAGAGGCTGCGCGAGCACTCTTGAAGCTTCATTTCCATCATTTTCCATCATAGCCCCTACATCCTTATAATGAACACTGCTCAATGCTCTGCTCTTCCTGCCCGCTCTTTTCAATACGGCCCCTGATTCGAAATGGATCTTATGAGTTTCGTCAAACCCTCCCCAAATCCGAAACCCTAAAACCTAAAACCCCTGAACCTGGAATCCTAAATGCAAACTCAGATGCCGCTCTCCTCCTTCACAGGATTGCTCGTCTGAAGCCAGATCTGGTCAGCCAGGGCATCCTGGCAATGCAACTGCGACGCATGCAACGCATTACTGGTGCTTGAGGGGGATGTGGGGGAGCGGATCGCTACGACTTGCTTGCATCCCTAAAAGCTGTGACAGGGAAGCAAGGCATGTCTTTCCTCAAACGGAGGATCCCTTAGTGGATACCACAAAATGATAGGGAGAAAAGGTGAACCAGAATTGCTGAAAATTCCTACAGCCTAAATTTGTCTGCACTCCCCTCCCCACAATAACTCCTGCATAATGTTTTCAGCTGGCCTGCTTAAACGGACAACCGAAGTGGCATATTACCTAACACTAGTGTCATCTACGTGAATGCGCGAATTTGAGGGACCGTAGGTTCCCCCACACCGACCCAAAGCCCACAATCCTATAAACGGCTATATGATCCGACTTTCCTTGTAATTGCCCATGTTTGTCTCCAATTTGAATCTCTGCTAGTGAAGTAATATCCCTGAAGACTATATAATCGCTACACTCTGAAGGAAACTACCGGGTGACAGTGTGAGAAACACAGGCCCTGCATGCCTTGGGCCAGCTGAGCTTGAAGGTAAAAACCTGGGCTACGTCTCAGGCTTGGAGAGGGCTTAGCTTTGGGGTTTAGGGCTTAGGTCATATGGATTGTCTTGAGAGCTGAGAGTTTACAGTTTACTGTTTAGGCGTTCTAGCGTTGCAGGCTGTATTGTTCTCCAATGGATCTTTGAGTGCAGCCTGCACTCCTTCCACCTCAGGTTGGAGCGACATAGGCCGCTCTCTCCTTTTTCTTCCATGTACGTGTGCGTGTTAACAAAAACCTCGTCCACAACTCAGTTCCACCTCTTTGAGGTTGCAGACGCGGTCGAGGAGTAGCGCGGCGTCTGGTTACCAGCAAGTGAGTATCAGTACAGTATGCTGTCTTGAGGTACCATCTGGCTTTTTGTGTTGAAATCATATCCAGGTCAGCGCTATCCTGCGTTCTTCTAACAGCTGCAGAGAATCAACAGCAAAGTGCCATTGGCAACTCGATTGGTACTTAAGGGGGAGTGACGGAGTGGATCAACGTTTTCATTTCGAAGAGATCCCCGACCATAGTACCGATGGTCCCTCCGCGATTCCCCTGCAAGCACCCGTATAGTATGTGCAGCAGGTGGTACTCTCGGGATTGCACGCGCCAAGCACCCATGCAAAAAATCCACAGCTGAGCTTGTGCTTTCAGTGCCTGAAGCGATGCAGGCTTGAGAACGCACGAATAACATCTGAAAAATGGCGAACTCCAAGGCAAAAAAAAATGAGGCTGTACGAATAGTCATCATGGCACCTCACCTCAGCTTACGCAAGATCTTGCTGTGGAAGTGATGGCACACATCTCCAAGTGCCAAGTGCAAGGTACACCGAGCCTGCCGGCCATCTGCTGGCCAAGCCCAATGCAACGAAGATTCGAAGGGGGAGCTGCACTGATGCTAAGGTCTGGGAGGTGGATCCTAACAAAGAGTCCCTCTCTATCTTCCCGCCCCCTCCCCCTTTAGCATCAGTACGTCATCGTGCATCCCCCGTGAGAGACCGGTCTCAACCGAAGACACCCCAAGGACAGAACGCCCAGCCTTTGGGCCCATGGCATAAAGACACCATGCAGCAAGTGCCCCTGGAGGAGGTACACGAAGTACAGGTTTATCTCTCACGGCTGCGGAAATGCCGGAAAGGCAGCTCAGCCGGAACCACATAACCCAAATCCTGGTCTTGAGTTGCCAGGCTGGGGAAACAAGAGTTGGCCGTCAAGGGTAGTAAGTTGCTTAGCAACAGCCCTTGATGTAACTGAAGGCGCCATAGCTGTTGTTCTGAACCTACGTTGTGTAAAATCACTTGAAGCTTCGAATATCAAGGCGACATCCTCTTCAAAAAAGTTTCGTGAATGAATTGGCCGCGCGCAGAAAGGCACACAAGTAGCAGCACTGTCGTGGCTATCGAGCTATGAACCCGGTATGTGCATCACATGACTCAGCAACACTAACACTGTCAGATTGAAAATGTTCCACATCAAGTTTTGGGAACTGAAGAGCACGGGAGCTCATACCCACAAGGTGGGCAACAGAGGATCAGGCCAAGCTAATCCTCTGACGGAAGGAACTCAGAGCAGGGCACGTGCCAGTGGACGTCACAGGCAACAGCATGTTCAGAATCAATCCTGGCCACCATGCGGCCACAGGGTGCCGAGTCCTGCCCCAACATTCACTGAAGGGACTGCAAGGGGACGACTGGTGAAAGATCCGCCGACATCCTTAGCCGTCACGCGACTCATGACTCTCTTTTGCTTCTACATCATGGTGCATGAGTGGGAAAAATTTTTGTCCCAATGCCACAATGTCTGCCACTGCACTAGCACCAGAAAGAAAACCAACATCACTGCTACCTACCACACTCAGCTGCTTGTCATGCGTTCCGTAGAAAGCTTGGGTGCAGGCAAGATCTGGAGCATGGCTGCTGGGTGGGCATGATCGTATGTGTGCAAATGGTGCCCCTGGGCCCCGGGTGAGGGGTTGGCAGGACCTAAGTCGATGGAATATCCAATTTCTGAGGGGCCTTATAACCTTAATGGGAGGGCTACAAACTACAAACCCTCGCGACCCTGAAGCATAGGGGATGTGTGGATATACGGCCCGAATTGAGGCAGGCTGCAGCTTCTGGAAGAATCCTCGGCCATTTCCTGCATGTGGCCGTGGCAATTACAGAGGGGCTTCCAACGGTTTGAATCAACGTCCCAACACGCAAGAAAATTGTATTCAAAATTGCACAGGGATTAGTTTCCTGTTTGGTAGCTGACGGATTCAAAAAACTTGCTGACATTTTCGAGGAGAGAAGGCATGCATAGTGAAAAGCAGTGACAAGCGTGCTTACAAATCACAGGAGAAAGCAAACAGAAAATCAATTCAACATAGCTCCCTCCTGACTCCAGGGAGCCCCGATTACGAAGCACAGAAGCGCGAATGCAAGTTGCATGCAGGCAAGGATCGTTGCGAGGACTCAGATACATGTTGCAGAGGACATTGCCAGAGGTCAGTGAGAACCTCCAGATTATTCCTGGGCGGATTGCATGATCCAGAGAATTGCGCGAAAGGAGCTGGAACACGGGGGCTGAGGTCAGCAGCAACAAAGATTGAAAGTTACAAGCACTCACACCCTGCATTGTCCTTCGGTACGATATGGTAGGTTGTCAAAGCTATGGCTTTTGGGCTCTCAGCGCAATACGGCCCCTGACATACAGCCCCCACATGGGGAACATTGACTGTCACAGAGGAAGCGGGCTTTGACTTCGGTAGACTTGCATGTACATCCGCAGAGCAAAGTCGGAAAACTCCAGATTCAACAAAAGTGACTACAGTGGAATTTACAGTAGATTATCCTAAAACCCCTAATTCCTCTTGTGTGTTATGGGAACGTAGGTAATCTCCAGTAAATTATACTGTCAGTAGTTCCTATGACATGCATGATGTGAGGTGATCATGCACGTCTTACACGACAATGCACACGGACTACTGACTGGGTACACGTAAAGAAGTTGGTACCTCAGTGAATGCATGTCACTGGCTGTTCTGTTCTTGATGCTTCCAAAGCCCTGAAATAACGCAATGTCTGCTTATAATCCCGCATGTGGAACCTAGGGACAAGTATAGGGGATTATCTCGGGACTGCTCCAGGGATCCATTCCCTCATTCCCTGCCCAAAACCAGGAAGGAAATTTACCCAGATATCAGGAATGCTTCTTGCCCAGATTTTAGCTTGCCAGGTTGCATGGACTCCACCACGTGTCGTGCAATTGTCCGAGCTACGCCGTGTCCTTTCCTGATATGCTTCAGAGCGCCAAAATTGAAGCAAGAGTCATCATTCAAAACATGCAACACTGGTGATGATGGGGAAGAGACTTTCAATGTCGGAACTATGATTGCATTTGGTGCTGGCATTTCCGAGAACCATTCTTCTTGTTCCCATCGCTTTGTCTGTCTCATGCTGCAAATCTCTAACACTTGCTGAGTCAAAGTGTGCCCAGCTAGCTGGACTGCAATGTTCTTCCCTGGTAAACGACAAAAGGATTGAATTGCCAAAGCTCCCGGTCTTCCGCACGCACGACGCAAAGCGCTCAACCTCCACAAGTCAGCATCTGAAAACACTTGCCAACTGCCCTGTTCCAAGAGAGAAGACAATTGCACGCCAGCGCACGGGGTTGCACAATGCTGCCTTTGCTTGCGCTGTTCGCAGACAGGCCAGGAAAAGGCGCAAGACGGACTTACACCCCCGCAGACCTGAAAATGACCATTTGACTATCGTCCTTTTGAGTGATGCCTAGGTACCCACATGGGGTTCCACAGTAGAAGCCATATGCGGTGTCACTGTAACCAGCACAGCTCAGCCTGAAGCAACACCAGCTCGGTTGCATCCTCGGTGGTCAATTCCCCGAGGTGGTTCCAGGGAGTCCACAGGCACATCTCCACTAGCCATCGGTTGTCGACAACTCTTGCCTCACAGAATGAGGTGCAGGGATGTGCAGGGGCTTCTTTGATCAGGATAGGACACTGAGGTAATTCTAAAAAATATTTACTTCGAGCATCC